GCCTCTATGATGAAGTTCAAGCCCAACCAGACGCGGACCTACGACCGCGAGGGGTTCAAGAAGCGGGCGGCGTGCCTGTGCTTCCGCAGCGAGCAGGAGGACGAGGTGAGGCGCTCTCCTGCGGCCGGGCGAGGAGACAAAGGGCCGGGCCGGGAGGCACCGGCACCATCTTGGCCGCCAGCGCCGCACGCCGACCGGGGCAGAAATGGCGTGGCGGGGCGCGGGCGGCGGCGGCGGCGAGCGGTCCCCGGCGCTCACGCTAACTCCCTTCCCTTCCGGTTGCGAGGACCCAGGAGCAGTCGACCTGATGCCCTTGCATTGTAAAAACCAACCTCGACCCTGAAAGTTTCCCGACCGCCGAGGGGGCCGGCGGAAGGTGTGGAGCGCCGCCAGCACGGGCGCGATGTGGGCACGGTTGCCATTTTCAGGCGCCGCCGAGGCTTGGCGTAACTCTCCGGGCTGCTCCGCCTGGGGACGTCTGGAAGGAGCGACGCTTGCCCTGAGAGGAAGCGGCCGGGTGCCCCCGTTTACCACCCTGCTCAGGGCTGCTGGTGGGGAACCCAAGGTTTCTCTAGAGACGTGTTTTTACTCGGATTACATTGATTTAATTTGTAAGTGGTGGACTGTTTCGGGAAAATCTTTCAGATTGCCGTGTGTAAAATGAGAAGGAAGAGGTTAATATTCTGACTTCTTCCTTAACCAGATGTGTCCCGTGAAATAACAGGCTGAAGGCGGGGGTAGAAACTGTAGTTATGCAGCGTACATCGGTGACTTAGTTCTTCCTATACTAGCAAAAATCACGTGCTTGAAAATTACCCTTTCTAAAACCCTCTTAACCTTTTTTTTTTTTTTTTTAAAGAAATTTAGCCCTTAGGTTGGTTTCATTACTCGTTCCAAAGCCCTTAGTGTTAAACCTAAGTCCTGAAAAAGTTTCCAGAGAAACAGTGGCTTTACGATAGGTCTCCTTAGGGGAGAAGGTTTTAACATTTACGAGATGAACAGAGCCAACAAGCATTAAATGCTTTCTACCAAAAAAAAAAAAGAAAGATTAGCGTTCACAGTGTGCTAGATAAGGCAGAGAAAAGTTGTTACCCTTAATCCTTTAACACTTGGAGGTGGTGCTGAGCATTCCTGCTTATAGGTGAGACAGTGCAGAGCGAAAGTTCACTGCCCAAGTGACACAGTTAAGGAAGTGGGATCGCACAGTCCAGTCCCCGTTCTTGGTACAGAGCCTTTGGCCCAGGGCTGGTCCTTGGCAGTTGGATGCTCACGATTGCTGAACCGAGCTTTTGTGAGGCAGAGCTTCAAAGCCTTTCTGAAAGCGTTACTTTTGAAGTCTTGCCTTAATGCGAAATTGGATGTTCAGCCTTTATGAACAAGTCTCTAGGGAAAAGGAAAAGAGATGGGAGGAAATCGAAATAGTCCATGATGTGTGTATGGCAAAGGAAAAAGTCTAAGGAGAGCTTCAGGAAGTACCTTAGCAGATGGAAGGACTGTTTTGTGTGTGGCCGTTCTGCCTGGAGGCTGAGGGTGTTGCTCAGTGGTAGAGCGCTGCCGAAACGTGGAGAACTTGGGCTTGATCCCAGTGTCAAAAAAAAAAAAGCCAGAAAGTTGTTTCTTCTGTAAAATAACTATTAAGTGCACAAGAGACTATTGCCATTAGATAAGTGAAGAAACAAGATGTTGAGAATGTATCAGAGAAATTCACTGTGTAAAATTAACCCTATAAACTGTAGGCTGAAAAATGAAATTAATCAGCCTATCAAGCTCCTGGGGATATGCTCTGAGAGGAGACTAAAATTCCCTAAGAAATACGCACAGCCAGCTTATCATCTGGCTTGGCTCTTCAGAATCACCACCTCTGGCTGTATAGTCCAGGCTCTTGTATAATTACAGTATAAACTCTTAGCAAAACAGTTAAGATGTCCAGGAAAGCTGTGGATTTGCTTCTGCTCTCGAATTATATTGGCAAGCTTTCTAAAGATAGGATACAAACCACCTTAAACCCACCTCTAGCTAGTGAGAAAGAAATGGTTCATCCAGATCTTGGTTGGGACGTTTTAGATATGTTTTTTGCTGATGAGTGTAAGTTTAAATGTACGAATAATTGCTGATTGGCCCTGTGTAGGTAGATAAAACTCCTGTCTGTAATCTCATCTTTCTGTACTGATTGATGGAAAGGATTCTCAGTTAAATCCTTAATTTTAACTGGTTAATTCGAGGAAAGGAGATTGTTCTAACGGAGTCTTTTCTTTCAGGGTAGCTTTATATTTTTTCATGTCTTAGCCTTTTCTGCCCTGTGAGGTTTGTAAGTGTTAGCATTTGTTTTAAAGTTTATAAGTTTTACTGACTTTTAAAATAGTTTTTGGCTTTTTTTTTTTTTTTTTTTTACAGGGGCTTAAGTAGTTCCCACTGGCCTTGAAATTACAAATGGCCACCTGCAGGCCAAGTGTTAGCATTTGTATAGGAAGAAATTAGCAAGAGTAACTTGTCCCAAGGTCCCTGAAACCTTTTGAGCACAAGGTTTTGTTTCTAAGTCATCTGTTCATTTGGCCAGCCTTTCTAGATAATTCTTTCTATGGAGGAACCACTCATTTTTGATAGCTGAGTTTCCAGAAAAGCTCACAAATAAATGCCCCGTAGATTAACTGGAGTGCTGTGCTTGATAATACCTTACAAATTAGTAACTAGAATTGGTAACTATGATACCTTACAAATTGGTAACAAATATTCAGTGAGTTACATTGAACATATTAGCATGTGTGAGCCTGAAGTCAATGGAAAAACATATTCTTGTTAGTGGAGGAGGTTATGCCCCATAAAAAGAAAGCACAGTGAGAGAAGAGTGCTTGTTAAGTGCTGTGAGGTTCAAATCCAGTGTGGAATTGTCTTTTGGAATTGGAAATTGTCATTTGGAATTGTCTTTCATTGAGTGGGGACTAAGGGGTCAAGAATTCCAAAAAAGACCTGGGGTTACATAGACCCAGAAATTAAAAACCAGAGCACTTCAAATGTAAAAGTGAGGACTTTGAGAGGAAAAGCTTATCCCTTTTGAACTCAAAGGACATTTAGGGTCTCTGTGCCTGAGAGTAATCTAGCAGCAAAATGGGATACACTTCATTAGGGAGAAAGAGTGACCTGGAATAGGAAGAAACAATGACCTGGCCCTGGGTGGGGAGTCTAGGCACAGTCGCAGCACGGGTCTTTGACAGCCCTAGGAACTGACTCTACACCACTGGATTTGTTTCACCAATTAGATTGAAACTCAGTCATGGTCTGAGCCTTGTACTGGGTGTCTGCTGTGATGCTGAGTGTATACTCCTGGGGAGTGTTCTACAAGATCACATCCAAACCAAGAATTGGTAGGGAAAGATAGAGCAAGAAAACTAAACCTGCAACCAGAACTCTTAATAAGCAGTATCAATCTTAATGACAAATATTAGTATAATTAATTAAATCTCCATTAGCATCTTTCCCCTTTTTTTGCAATACTGAGGATTGAACCTGGGACCTTCGCACTGAGCTATACCCTGGCTCCGACCTTTTATTTATTTATTTTGTGTCTCTGTGTGGCCAGCTCAGCCCACCAGGGGGCGGGGCGGGCTGGCTTGTGCTGGGGGATTGAACCGCGGTCCCTGTGCTTTGCTTAGCTTAGCTTGTTCTAAGTAGGTGCTTTAGACCACTGAGCCATCTCACCAGCCCTCCGACCTTTTATTGAGTCAGGGTCTCAACCGGATCATCACCAGGCTGGGCTCAGACTAGAATCCTCCCTCTATCCTCTCCCACAGTGTTTTCTGGGATTGGGATTACAGGAATGCATGAACACACCCTACTCTGATCCTTTTAAAACATGTGTTTTGAGACTGGATACTACCAGGTTACTTAGCCTGGGCTGAAATCAACCTCCTGGAGCTCGAGAATTATAGGCGTATGCCACAGTACACAGTTGCATCTTTGTTTTCAGGTAGATCCAACAGTCACTCCCTTTTCATACTTGTAGTATAGAGCTCATAGCCTCAAATTGTTGATTATTTTCTTGAAGAGGCTGCCATTTTCATCAAGATTCAATACTGTGAAAAGACAGCTTTTTTAAACAAAGAAGAAAGCCAACATTTGGAGGCTAACAGCTCTCCAAGACCGGAAGAACAGCCTCATAGGCCATAGCCAGTTCTTTGTTAAAGGGAAGGATCGTCTAGTATTTGCACTTGGCTTTTCCTTAGGGTCTTACTATACGAACATGTCTCACTGTGCCTCATCCTTTCAGTTCAGAACACTGCTAGGAGAAAGCAGCACAGGTCATCTGGCACCTTTGGGCAGCTTTAAAAAGCTCTGAGGCCACCCAACAGGATAGTCATGAACTTGCCACCCATAGTTCAGAGCTGTCTGGTAGCAAGACTCATGAATCATAGCCTGTCGCAAACATGTTAACCATCGTTGATCTCTACCAATCTATTGCCATCAACTTTGAATTAAGCATAGTTTAGGAGAAGAAACTTGTTTCTGACCTTCTGTGTCTCTATAGTACAGGAAGTAGTGCTACTCTCCCTACCAAGGGTGGAGAGCTAGTGCGTATAAGCACCAAGCCTGCAGTTTTTGGAGGTGACTGAGTGTACCTTGTGGAGGTTCCTGACCAGATGCTCTGGCCTACATGGTTAAATTCCTTAGAAACTGTTAACTACAGTAGAATTAGGTTAACTTACAGGTTTAGTCATTCATGATACCCCGATTGCTGATTATATGAGAAGAAGCAACTACCATGCCCCAAACTGCTTCTAAATAACTAATCTACACAGTGCAACCTTTTGTTCTTAGATTAAGGTGTTTCTTAAGCATCCTCTTCAGCACTTTGGAGCAGAGGTGATGTGTAGTGCAGAATTGTTTCCAGGAAGAGGCTGTGACCATTATTAATTAGCAGGTTCATGGGTAAAAACTGCACCAGAGGGCAATTGGGCCGTTGGGGAGTGGATTGCAGCCCAGCCCCTGCATGCATCCTGGTTACCCAGCCCAGCTAACACCTTTGTTAGGGAGGCCAAGGGAGGCAGTGGTGCAGGCACAGAAGGAATAGCACTGGAAAAGGTCAGTTCACATCACTTTCATCCCCTTGA